GGTTTAAGAATTGCTAATTTACCTATAAATAGCATAAAACTATGGTTTAATCTATTATATATACTGCTAATTTGGATAGTTTACTGTTGTCTTTTAACATCTCCATTTGTAAATTCTGTTCACAAATCGTATTCAATTGAATATCACATATGTTATTTGCTGGAAATGTTTACAACCTTATTGTCAATCGTGTTCGGTATTTATTATAACAAGGTAAGTAAATATATATGAAAATATACATACATATATGTCAGTAGTACCTAAGCAATTTCAAATGTATTTTCACAGTTACGATATTTAAAATAAAATATTGATATGGTATGCATTAATAAAATCTTCCCATCTAATAAAATTATTACTTACAAAATTTCTATAAAAGAATTTGCAAAAAGAACGCATGAAAAAATTATGATTTTGACTAAAATGCATTTGATATTAAATGCACTGTGTAATATAAATACAATTAATTTTCAAAGACATAATTATTTATTTACTCATCTAATTGCGTCTTTTTTTAGAAATTTCAGAATTCTCTGAAGAAACTCGATATTATTGACAACACACTACTTCAACTCGGAACAATGACAGATTATGACAAGTTACATAAGAAAATATTGTGGCTCATCTTAGGATGGTTTGTAATAGTCATATTAATGAACAGTGCAACGGCACTATCCGTAAATATTGAACATGATTGTGATATTCTGACTGCTATAATTGTTGTCTTTACACGATGTTATTATTTTCATATTCATGCTATCGGTTATTTGACAACTATAATTATTCTTGGGTTAGTATAACTTTTTAATACGTATATATATAACAGTTATATTCCTCAACTTAAATCATGTATATACATAAAATTAAATCATTAGTTATAAAAATTTAAGCACTATTGAAGTATTCTTAAAGTAAATATACTTATTTTTTAATAACAAAATCATTAATTAATTTTCTTTTATATATTTAGATATATTGGATTAAAATTCGATCAAATTAATAAACACCTCGAGAATTTGATGACAGATAACGATCATAAAAAAAAACAAATTTTAGAAAATTTAATACCTTCGCATCAACAACAGTTTTTGAAAACGTTAAATATCAAACACATGATATGGATTATTAGGTAAAAAAATCTAACTAAATACCACTGCATAATAAGTATTAAATAAAACTAAATAAATATTTTCATATAGCACGTGTAGTATATGTAGAACATACAGAATAAAATGATGTATTTATACAGACATCTTCACCTGGAGTTATGCAAAATATCCCATGAGATAGATTCTATATTCGTAACAGAAATATCTTTCAAAATGGCATGCTATTTTGGTTGGATAGTGTACGATATCCGCGCAACTTTCTATGCAATACTGATCGACAATTATGTAAAATTTGCTAAAATATATACAGCAATGAATGTAACATGGATTTCTCATAACATTTTTAAATTTTTGCTCTTTAATTATATGTGCGAAATAATTAGTACCAAGGTAATAATTCTATATATAATTTCAATTAACATTTATCTACCTAACAACATTTATCTACCTAAACAAGAGTTAACTTAAATTTGTTTTTAACAAAAATTTGACTGTTGATATTTTGTTTTAATTTACTGAATTCGAAGTGTATTTTATATTTTATTTAACATATTCTAATTTTAGGCAAGTGATCGGAATTTTACTAAACAGATTAATGTATTCCACTAATGATGTTGAAATTCGTGAAACCGTAAGTTTTTAAAATGAATTAGATGGAATATTATTAAAATAAACATTTAATAATATCTAAATAACATTGTTACAAAAAACACTTTTTTTCTCTTTGAAGTGCGATCATACATTTTCGGAAGTTTTTCACTCTCAACGATGTCGTTTGAAGAATTTGCCTACGTCAGAATTTTAAGTAAACTGAAATGAATGTTGCCAAAAATAGCGTTTTTGAACACATTTAACATTTTTTTGCGGCGAAACAAAAATTGATTTCTAAATGAACCCAACGGCATCTGAAAGTATCATTCAAGAGCTTTTGAACAAACTTTGGTTTATGACTGTACAATTTTTTCAACAAGTTATGGCTGTTTGAATTTTATACGCTTAGACGTTTATACACTATGTTACAAAAAACAAACTTTTTTCTTTTTACAAAGTGCACTTTCATTCCAATTTACTCAAAATACTGGCGTGCTAGACGAATTCTTCAAACGGTATCGTGTTCAGCGTAAAAAACTCTTTGGGAAACGTATGATCGTACTTGGGAGAGAACTTTTCTGAAACACAATCAAAATCAGCACATATATGTATATTAATAATAATCGATTGTATATTATTATAGATTTCACAATATTCATTACAAATTATATATAGGCCACTTAGATTCTGCGGAATAGGACTTTTCCAATTTGGTTTCCAATTTCTTTACAGGGTATGTAGTACCATACTTATATAATATCAATACACGTAACTTAAATTCATGATTAATATTTAAAAGAGCAAATTATATATTGTTTTTATTTTTAGTTCGTCATGTCAATTGCGACTGTTTTGGTTATAGTGATACAAGCGCGCGAAAATATATAAATATAATGATTAAAAAGCAGTAATGGTATTGGACACTTTATAAAATGCATTAACATAATGTTTATCGAAATAGACAGCAAGGCTTTTTAATTGAATATATTGTGGATATTTATATTAAGCATTTACTACAAATGTGAAAATAATTAAAATCTGTCTTGCTTTATAAAATTTTTTAAAATGTACAGTAATGTCATATAAAAATCTTACAATAAAAAACAAATGTCAAAAATAATATTCATATTTTTATTATATGAACATATCCGCTTCATGTTAAAACAGGCATATCCACAATCCAGCTTCAATAGAGAGTGTGACATTTAAATTGTAGACTTTAATATCTATAAGAGCCTTAACTGAAATTGTGTACATGTTATATTGTTATATTAGTATTGTGTTGTGATTTCAGTTTTTTTTTTGTTAATATTAATAAAATTATTGTAAATTAAATCAATTTATCACTGTAGTAAGTAGCGCAACCATAGATTATTACCTACGTAAAATAATTATTGCAAGAAGTGTAAAAGATTTCGTGGTTATTTCGTGGTACATGTAGAGAGATAGTAAAGGATAAAGTATAACAAAATACAAGCGCTTAGCTCTTGTATTCTTTATTTAGCTTGTTATCTTCAATATCCCATTTGTTTAGAACGTACGGCATTTTAGCGTATGGGATTTATGCCGTAGTACAAATGTTTTATTATTTATTTATTAACATAAAAATAAATAATAAAACGAGATAATATCTCCTTTATAAAACATTAATCATAATATTTATAAATGTATATTTATGTATGTACTTATCCATAATCTGTGATAATACGCTCTTTATTTATTTATTAATAAGTAAACGCAAATTACGTTGTCAATTCACGCATTATTTACTATTATGATTTAGATTATTTGTATATTTACAGAGTTATTTAGCCCACCCGTGAGTATCCGTAATATAACCCATCCCCATTTATATATGGCAAAAATGCAAGGGTTTAAAGAATTTTTTTTAATATAAAAAATAAATATTTCAGAATCATAGTATTTTTTCATAGTAGCAGACAGCATAAAGTTTTTATTGATACAGACCATTTACTTTAAACTAACAGATAATACCTAATAAAATAAGTTTTTAATAGATACGGCGTATACACTGGAGTTATCCTATGTTAAAACAAGCAGGAAATCCATTATCTCATTTCAAAAAAGTGTGACATCAATTGTAATAAATTGATTACTTTAATATCCATAAGAGCCTTAATTGAAATTGTATACATACTACTGTTACCATTCCATACAATTTATGCAACGAACTAGCCAGAAAAAGTTTAGTTTGATATATCAACGGCGCATGCAATGACCAAAAATATTCGAACAATTTTAAAGCCACTTCTAATAATCAGTTATGTGTTTGGTTTAAGAATTGCTAATTTACCTGCAAAACGCATAAAATTATGGTTTAGTCTTTTATATATGCTGCTAATTTGGATAGTTTACTACTGTATTTTAACATCTCCATTTGTAAATTCTGTTCAAAAATCGCATCCAATTTACTACCACATATGTTATTCGCTGGACATGTTTACAAGCTTATTGTCAATCGTGTTCGGTATTTACTATCACAAGGTAAGGTAAGTAAATATATATGGTAATAGACATATATGTTATTACTGTAGTAAACAATTTCGAAACTATTTCCACAGTTACGACATTTAAAATAAAATATTGATGCGACATGCATTGATAAAATCTTCCAATCTAATAAAATTAATTATTATTTACAAAATTTCTATAAGAGAATATGCAAAGAGAATGTATTAAAAAATTATATTTATGATAAATAAAATGTATTCGATATTAGATGCACTGTATAACAGATACAATTAAGTTTTCAACAAAATAATTATTTATTTACTCGTCTAATTGCGTCTTTTTATAGAAATTTCAGAATTCTCTAAAGAAACTTGATATTATTGACAATACACTACTTCAACTCGGAACAGTGACAGATTATGACAAGTTGCATAAGAAAACACTGTGGCTCATCTTAGGATGGTGTGTAATAGTCATAATAATGAACAGTGTAACGGTACTATCCGAAATTGCTGAATATGATTGTGACATTCTGACTGCTATAATTGTAGTTTTTATACGAAATTATTATTTTCATATTCATGCTATCGGTTATTTGACTACTATAATTATTCTTGGGTTTGTATAACTTTTTAATACATACATATATAGATTATTCTACAACTTAAATTCTGTATATACATTAATAAAATTGAATCATCTATAAAAATTTAAGCACTATTGAAATATTCTCAAAATTGATATACTTATTTTTTAATAACAAAATCATCAATTAATTTTCTTTTATATTTTTAGATATATTGGATTAAAATTTGATCAAATTAATAAACATCTTCAGAATTTGATGACAGATAACAAACATAAAATTAGACAAGTTTGGGAAAATTTCATAATACCTTCGCATCGACACCAGTTTTCGAAAACTATAATAAATATCAAACGCATGATATGGATCATTAGGTAAAAGATCTAATTAAATGTCACTACGTAAATAATACTAAATAAATATTTATATATAACATATATAATACATATAGAACATTCAAATTAAAATTTAATATTTATACAGACATCTTCACTTGGAGTTATGCAAAATATCCTATGAGATAGATTGTATATTTGTAACAGAAATATCTTTCAAAATGGCATGCTATTTTGGTTGGCTAGTGTTCGATATCCGTGCAACTTTCTATGCAATACTTATTGATAATTACGTAAAATCTAATAAACTATATATAACAATGACCATAATATGGATTTCTCATAATATTTCTAAATTTCTGCTCTTTAATTACGTGTGCGAAACAATTAGTACCAAGGTACTGGATTCTATATTTAATTTCATATAACACTTATCTAACTAAACATTTACCTGTTAAGTGGTTATTTTGTTTTAATTTATTGAATTAGAAATACATTTTATATTATATTTAGCATATTCTAATTTTAGGCAAGTGCAACAGCAAATTTACTAAATAGATTATTGTATTCCAATTATGATGTTGAAATTCGTGAAACCGTAAGTTTTAATATGAGTTCGTTAGAAATTATTAAAGGAAACATTTAATAACGTCTAAATAATCAGCACATATATATGTATATTATTAGTAATCGATTGTATATTAATACAGATTTCACAATATTCATTACAAATTATACATATGCCACTTAGATTCTACGGAATAGGACTTTTCCAATTTGGCTTCCAATTTCTTTACAAGGTACGTATACTTATGTAATACCAATACACGTAATAAACTTAAATTCATAATTAATATTTAAATGAAGAATTTATATTTTGTTTCTACTTTTAGTTCGTCCTGTCAATTGCGACTGTTTTAGTTATAGTGATACAAGCGCGCGAAAATATGTAAATATAATTATCAAATTATAGTATTTTAAATGGGGTTGGACACTTTATAAAATGCATTTAAATAATGTCATTGCATATTTTGGCAGTTGCGTGCATTGAGGTTGATGTGTAATTGTAATTAATAGTAAAAAATAAAAAGTGCAGCTAAATAGTGCGCGCGAAGCGCCCGTCTGTGCTAGTACATAAAAAAATACAAGAGTTAGGTACTTTAAAATGTAATTTTGTGAAAAAAAATCGTAGTGACTTGCATTTGTTTTCAAATTAAAAAGAAAGCTTTACAACGCTGCAAACGGCATCTCCGAAAAAAATTTTAGCAAATCCGTGCATTCCGTCAAACTTTATGATTTTTAGTATGACAAACATACTCTCAGATTTAAGAGTTTACAGTAGCAGAGGTGCATTAAATTTAAAATCAAACCATACTTTAAAGTAGAGATTTTAAGTTTTAATAAAAAAAAATTAATCGTCCTGCAATGTTTAACGGTACACCAAAAAAAATATTCTAGTTATAAAGTGAAATTTTCTCTAAT